AAATAACGTAGCACGGACGAAACGTCGTTACGTTAATAAAACATTTATGTTACGTTAATAAAACGTTCATGTTACATTTAGTGAAATCATACATTGGTGATATAATTAATAAAATAATATAAAAAAATAACAAAAAATATAATTAAATACATATATAATATATTCTTTAAATTAATTTATATCAAAATTATTTGAATATTCTGAATTCAAATATTTTTGAACAGATATATAATATGGGGTCAATTCATAGAAAATAAATATTTTCAGTTAAAATATAAAGAAAAAATAGTAATACTATAATCAATTATTGTTAATAAATTATAAAATCGATGAATATATATATATATATATTATATAATATATGCTAAATCTATTCAGTAAACCACAAAAGTTAAAATTACGTAACACAGACGAAACGTCGTTACGTAAATAAAACGTTTATGTTACATTTATATCACATTTAGTAAAATCATAAATTAGTGATAATAAGATGTATCAAATAATTTAAAAAATGAATTAATACCAAAAAATATTGATTTTAATTAAATTTATATATGCAATATTTTTTAAAATGATTTTTATCAAAATTATTTGAATATTCAAATATTTTTGAACAAATATATATGATTTCCAGATAAAATTTAAGACAAAAAATTATAATAGTATGATTAATTATTATTAATAAATTATAGAATCAATGAATATATATAATATATGCTAAATATGCTATGTAGTAAACACAGAAGAAATGTCGTTACGTTAATGAAACGTTTATGTTACGTTATTAAAACGTTTATGTTACGTATAGTGAAATTATAAATTGATAGAATTACTAATGAGATTAGTATATTTTTTTAAAATACTTTATATCAAAATTATTTGAATATTCTGCACTTGATGTTTTTTGAAGAAATAAATAGTTGAGCCTAGAAAATTAACATTTCCAGGAATAATACAAGACAAAAAATATTATTAATAATAAATATTTAGCCTGAAATCGTCAAAATTTCACCTAAATCGAATTTAAAATCCACCATGTATAATATTTGTACCTAAATATCTATTCTATTAAATATCGATCACATTGTTTTATTTCATTAAACATCTCGTTTCTACAAATATAGTATACAATTATTTTTTCTTAAAGTCCAGTCTCTAAAAAAATTTGTAGAAAATTTTCTATTACCTTCATCGTAAAAATCAGTCCTTTGATGAAACTATTACACACTAGAATAATAAATATGAAAGGACATTTAATATGAAAATATTTTTTTACCTTCTAAGGTACCTATATTATAAATATGCTCGTTAGAAATATGTATTGGTTTTGGGAAATATGTCTAAGTTTTTTTTCTGGTAGAGAATTAAGTTGGATTTTTGCTAGGGAAATGGAAAATTGGAGGAAAAAATTGCACATTTTGTAAAAATAAATTGTCTTGAATTATTATATGATTATCAGATGTAGAAATAGGTTTTTTGTACAAAAGGGAGTACTGTGGCAGTACGAACCACTGTTGGTTTTCGCAATATTTTCTAATCAACATTTTGTAAAATTTTATGCATTTTGGTAAGTTAATTTAATAAAAAAAAATCTACACCAGTCACCATTTAAGTACTATCAAAACAGTCTATTTGTTTAAAAATGTGAAATATAAATATTTTTTTTACAAAAATTTTTGTATAAAGACATAATGCTTTTGCAGAATTATGTAAGATTTTTTACAAACATATTTCTATTAATATGATAAAAATATAAAGAAAATCCCAAATTAATAAAATTGTATAAATAATCAACTAAATATTGATAATTTTAAAAATTAAGAACAAATTAATAGTATGTATATAAACAAAATTTTTTAAGTGTATATGTACTTAGTTAGTAAATTAGGTTTTAGTGCTAATTTATGTTATTTTTTTTAATTTTTCCATTTCTCTAGCAGAATTTTTTCATATGAACACAATTAAAATTATTATTTCAAAGATTCAGAGTCAGTTGCACCTTTTATTCTAATTAAATATTAAAATAAAAAATCTAAAAATTCTTAATCTAACAAAATTATTAATTACATTAGAATCAATAGTTACATGATATTATTAAAAATTGAACAAAAATCAATATCAATACTTTGTGGAGACTATATAATTAATTTATAATAGCTGATAAATATATATTTATAGTTATTATAATTATTTAATAATATTAATTTTGAGTGGTCTACAACTTTTAAAAAATATTTATTAAAATAAACAATTGATATAATAAAACAAAATATATTCATTTATTAGAAAAATAGTCTAAATTATAGAACCAAAATACATATTTATCATATAATAGAAAATGCATTTACAAAATAATATTATATATAAAAATATTTTGTAAATAATTTTTATTCTATAGTAGAATATTTTATTTTAATTTTAAAGAGAATAAATATGGTGCAACCGGCCTTTGATAATTTTATAAGAAAAATTATATTATTTAAAATTACAATGTTTTTTAATTTTAAGTTTGCTCCATTAAATTAGAAAAAAATATATATAATATAACAATATTGGATACATAATTATATTTTGAGTAATGGATATTAATTTGTGGAAGAAAATTATAAAAAAATAATTTATATAAAAATTAATTGTATTATCCTGAATTTTATGAATTTTTGCTATAGTATAAAAAAATCCTGGTAATAAGAATTTTACTAACTATCATTATTTCTAATGATGGAACAAACGTCTTGAAAATTAAAAAAAAATATATTATTAAAATTTAGTTTATAACAAATCACTGACTTATTTATATCTTATATTATCAACTTGAGCAAAATGTCATAATTTTAAAAAATATAATAAATAGTTTAAAAATGCATAAAAATAGTATGAAAATATAAGTAGATCTTTTGTTAAAGAATATAATAATTTTAAATTTAGGTTCTTATTTAAAATAAATAAATTAGTTTATGAAAATTAGGTGTTGTAAAAATATTGTAACCGATAAAATTTAAAAAACGTCAAAAAATAGCATTCGATATTAAAATATTTGTAAAAAATTGCCAATTTTATTAAAATTGTGAAACAAACCAATAGTAATTGTAAAAAGTAAACTTATTCCAAATATTCGTTTTAATTTAAAATAAAAATTAGAACTGAAAAATTTATTATTAAATCTTTTACTATTATATAATATATAAATATAGCATTCAGAAGTGAATATGTTCGATTAAGAGTTTAAAGAAAAAATACTAAATATTTGTCTTAATTAAGAATTTTGATAATAAAATAATTAATTTGTTTAAATTTACCATCGTTATAAAATCTACTTGTCATAGATTTTAATAAATGTAAAAAACAGTGTTTAATATTAAAAAATATAAGTAAAAAAAACACACCTTATTAAATTTAGAAAAAAAATGATAGTAATTCCTAGGAATAAAAATTTTACGTTCAAAAAATATTTAAAAATCACCAAAACCGTTTTCATAAACTAAATTACTAAAAACATTTTCATTAAACAAATTAAATTAAATTCAAATCATGATCACAAAAATAAAAAAATGACAAAAGATGATGAAAATCATGAAAATAACAAAAACTGATTTTATTTTCTTAAGAAAACTACTATAATTTATTCTAAAAATAACCGTTTTTCTTACCAAAAAATCCTAATTTCAAATTACAAGTTTTCTGATTAATTTTATTTAAAACAAAAAATTGCCAATAAAAATTTCTAGTTTGAAATATATATCATTTTTATAAAATCATCTAGTACTATATAACAAAATTTAAATAATGTAAAAAAATACTATATATTAGTTAAAACCCATAAATTAGTAATAAAAATCTAAATATCCAAAAATATATTTATATAGAGTGCTTGTCTATCAATTCTCCTAAATTGGAATATAAAAATTGAAATTTATATTTAAAAAATTTGTAATTAATTATTTTAATTTAATAGTTAAATACAAAACTAGAAAATTAGAAAATGGAAGAAATAGTATATTTACACTATTATACTAATATAGGTCTTTTAGTACTAAATTTAGAAGTAAAAATTTAAATAAAAAACAAAATTTAAATAAAAAAAGTAAATTTATAAATTTGAAAAGTAAGGTATAAGGGTTGTAATAAAAATGAGGGCTCTAATTAGTAAGGTATTTAATTAAAAACAGAAGAGAAAAATAAAAATTAGGGAAAGGGTACTAATAAACTTGAGTGCTAAATAAAAAAGTAAATTTATAAATTGAAAATTATGATGAGGGTGGTAATAAAAATAAGGACACTAATTATTAAGGTATTAAATAAAAACAGAAGAAATAGAAATTTAAGCACAAATAGAAGTTTAAGGTAAAGGTACTAATAAAATTGAGTACTCTACTTAATAAATTATCATAGGAATTATTTTGTAGGAGTCTTTCATAATTAATAATAGAATGAAAATATGAATAAAAAAATAGAATTTAAATACAAAAGTGAGTTTATAAATTTGAAAATTAAGGTAAGGGTTGTAAAGATAAGGACACTAATTATTAAGGTACTGAATAAAAACAGCAGAAATAGAAATTTTAGCACAAATTGAAATTCAAGGTAAGGGTCCTAATAAAATTGAGTGCTCCTTATTAAGATAGGACTTATTATTGTTGGAGTATTTTAATAAACAAATATAAATATAAATAAGTAAAATAAATATAATAAATAAATAAAAATAAATATAATAAATAAATAAATACTTCAACAATAATAATATTTTTTTTGCTAAGTTTCTAATACATAATTTATTAGTACCAATTACCCAGTAGGAATTAAATTTGGATAAAACTGATATTGAAGCCTCATATCCAAAATGTAAAAAATGACTTCAAATGTCGAAATACGATATATATATATATATATATATATATATATATATGTATGTATACATATATATCTCTTATCTATCCACCTACCAGATAGACAAGCACCCCTTCTACAAAATCTACTCCTCCCAAAATTTTGCCCCAAATTTAGGTCTTATTAGAACAAGAGCCCAAAGCTTTCGCCCTCAAAAAGGTGACAGTCTGTTGTGACAAAGGTTCAGAAGGGCTTTCCGAATCCGAAGTGAAATTTGTATGATGATTTCCATTTCCCAAATCTAAACACCTCTGAGCCGATTTTGATAAAAATTCCGCCTCTTCGTCCTCCAGACTGGAGCAACTGTGGGTTGTGTCGGCGCTTGTGGAAATCGCAGAATTTCCTGAAAAAAAAGAAATATGATTATTTGATATAGATAATGAGTTGAAAGGAAATATAATGTATAATTTATTGCAATAATAATAAGACATTGATTGGGGCACGGTTGCGCAACTCGTACCTCCTAACAAAACAAAACTAAAACTTGCTGCAATTAAATTTAAAAAAAATCTTTGGCATTTACTGAGCCTTTATTGACTTAGCTTGGGAATAACAATCACTAAAGTTTTGAAGTACTTCTTTAGGCGCGACTAGGGTGTAAATCCGTACAAATGCAACGGAAGTGCGTTACGGCAGATAAGAGTGGAGAAGATAAGAGTCGAGTACCAATGATGCGTCATTCGCTCTCGATGATATCATTTCTATACGGGTCGATTGTGATTAGTCGTCTGTATGTGAATAGAGATCTGTCGTTGGATGTGCACCGGCATCAACGTTGTATGCGTAAGGATACAAGAAGGAAATTAGAATGTCATTAGTTTTGATCGTAGTACAAATCTTGATTTAATGAAAAATGCATGAATCAGAAGAATATTTTACCCTGTTCCTTGAAAATAATAAAACAAATTAAACATTTGTGCCGTGTACTAAACGTAAGTTTATTGATTAGAAATTATTTTTATATTATTCGTAGTTTCTATAAATATTTGAAGTTATTAAAATGGAAAATATTTTTAGGCAAGACAGATATTACAGCTGTTCAAAGAATGAGATTATTTTGCCAGCGAAAAAGTAAAAAAAATACAAGCAGTCAATGAATGTATGCTGATTTTAATTACATGAAGTCAAACAAAAATATTACATGATGAGTGAAGTTGCGAAAACAATATTTTTTGTTTAACATAACCCACTGTGTTTTTTCAATATTTTGATCGGTTTTGTTAATAATTTATCCAAACATTAGCATATTACCATATATCATTAGATAGCTAATTAAATTATCTATAAATCTGTGTACAACAATTTATAACTATTGAAACAAAATATATTTAGAACAAAAATTAAACATTAATGTCTTCTACTACATTTGTTATATTTTTTTAAATTTTTTTGAATAATTTGTTCAAACACCTATACATTATTATACATCAATGCTAATAAACTTATTTACAAATCTGTATATAACAATTTATAACTCTTAATACAAAATTTTATTTAAAAAAATGTTTAAGTTTGATTATATAGTAAACTAAGATGTGTGCTGATTACATTTTCTTATATTTTGATTAATTTCATTAATATTTTCTTCAAATATGTATACATATATTATTATACATCATTAGAAAGCTAATAAAATTATCTAACTTGTTGGTATTGGTATTTTTCCTCGAGGCAAGTTACATAAACTTCCCGATATGTTTAAATAATCGACTTAATCAATAAAAAATAAATTAATTTATGAGTGATTAAAAGTATCCCGAGTGGATTTATTACACATAATTGAAAAACAAACAAACACGTTAACTCGGAGTATTTTCTAAAAGCAAATTTTCAATACTCAATAATTTTTATAATTGAACCAGTTTCCGTAGGACTTTAATAGTTTAGTATGTTCATTAAGACCAAGTACTTTATCGTTATACCAAGTAAATCGTCTAATTTTAATTTTAACAAAAGTCAAAAAAACTATTCATTTTCTCAAACTTTGATGAATTTTTAAAATTAAACTATTTATCGTAAGTCCGTAATATTTCAGTAAGTTCTAAAAGACCATGATGTATATGGACAAAAAAAGTTTCATAAAATCAAAGGCTTATTTTTGGAATTATATCTTTGTTCTAATTTTATTTTAATTGTATCAAATTCTAATTGTAGAAGGTATAACTAATTCTTCTAATTCTTATTAATTATTATTCAGAATAATTCGGATTAAATTAAATTAAATTTATATGTGAATTTAGTCAAAAAAAAAAATTGTCATAACAAGGTAACAACGAAATAATAAATGGGAATTCAATCGAAAAACAAAAACATTTGAACTAATAGTGAGTCAAATACACTAGCCAAAATCGTATAATTTTTTAGGTTTTTATTTTTTTACTCGATTTTAAATAATAAAATTATCAAATATTCTACTACTTTACTATACCGATTAAATTCGCCAACTTTTGATAAAATTTGCTAACACACTTTGGTATATTTTTTTTAAAGGATAAGGTCTCTCAAAGTCGACTGATTTTGAAAATTTTAAATTCACAGTCTTAATTTTATGGACACTTGGGGCAATTGTGATATTTTTTACAGCAGTTTTAGAAATGTTATTCACGGTTAATCCACCAAAAATTAAATGAAGTGAATTAATAAAAATTAATCACAGAAACCGAAAAATGGTCATAATTTGACCAAAGCTCTGGGTTGCACATAGAAGCTATTTGTTTTTAAACAACGTTAAATTTTTTTTTTTTTGAAAATCACCCCGTCTCGGCTTGATTTCTGGGACACCCTGTACATATATATTAGGTTGTTAAATATCTCCCTTCCGCTTTTTTGCTCTTGGTTTATAATACAAAAAGGCGTAAGGGAGATATTTGACAACCTTATATATATATATATATATATATATATATTATTTACCTTGATAGTCCATCTGCGGTGAGGCATCAGGTCCATCCGACGAAGTATAAGAATACGATCCTTCCGACTCCTCAGAATTATCAGACAAAGTCCCAGCAGAGTTCTCCGATTCGGCATGATTAGAATTATCATCACTATCAGAATTGTTATCATCAGAATCCGTGGTCAATTTCTTCATGATCAGAGGATAGAATTCCATGGCCGTGGCGTTTTTCGGTTCGTATTGCAGAATGACTTTGCAGTGTTTGAGAGCCATCGGATAGTCTTTGAGCATCAAGGCCGAGAGGAACTCTGCCAGAATTTCTGTTGGGGCAGACATCGATTCGTCGGCGTCTGTGTACTCGCTCAAGTCTTCTGCACTGTCGCCACTTCCCTAAAAAATAATGATAATAATAATAATTAAACCTTAGTGGTGCATGATATCGTGCCTTAAGGCAATTGCTGGAACTTCCCGTACCGTAATCAAAATTTTGGATCGGAAGCCAAAAAAATTCGCTCAAAATGTGTGTAAGCGCACGGCGCAATGTTTATTAAAAAGGTAAATTAAACAATCACTACACACAGACACTTTACTACCTCGAAGGACCATATATAATTTATTATTAGAATGGCTATATCAGACCTTTAAAAATAAGTTGGTTCAGTTATTAATAGTATTTATTTGTTTGATGTTCACGGTTCGAATTATGCGTACAGAATGAGTAATTTCTTATAACTAGCTAGGGTAGGAAATTATTTTAGTATGTCAGATAGAGAAAGATGGCTTAATAAAATTTGTGAGGCTCGAACAATGTGTACACATTATGAAAATCTCTATAAAATATCTGATAATTTGATGTGCATATGTTCAATAAACATTTTTGACCGCCAAATGACATTTTTAACTTCCCGTAGGGTAAGTTATAGTAATCGCAAAAAAATCGAAAATGAAAATTTTTATATATCTTTACGTTTCAAAGGTTTCTGAACATTTTGGCATACCTTAGAAAAAATGGATGTATGTGTGTGTGTGTGTGTGTGTGTGTGTGTGTGTGTATGTGTGTGTGTATGTGTGTGTGTATGTGTGTGTGTATGTATGTACGTGTGTGTATGTATGTGCGGATACAAATTTTCGTCGACGATTTCAGGAACACGGATCAACCGATTTGAATAATTCAAAAAACATTCGATTCGTATTGATAAGGAGACGTGCTGATTAGTTTTTGGCGAAGGCAGGTCTAGCCGTTCCGAAGATACGGGGCAAAAAGTGCCGAAAACGGTAACTCAGTTTTTAAGAGAACGGATCGCCCGATTTGAATAATTCAAAAAACATTTCACTTGTATTGACAAGATGAAAAATCGATGAAATTTTCATGAAGGTAGGTCTAGCGGTTTCGGAGATATGGAGGAAAAAGTTAAAAAAGGAGCCATTTGGCGGTCAAAAATGATCATTAGACATATGCACATCAAATTATCAGATATTTTATAGAGATTTTAACAATAAGTATACATTTTGTCAACATTCCTATGGGTTCCGTACCAATGCTTATGCGTTAGACAGCGACGCGGCGCTTACGCGCTTTATATTTTGTGCCTATGCAGTTAAAGCAGTACGATTGCTTTGAAAAAAAGTTCAGATCTTCCACAATATGTCAAAATAAATAATTTTTTTTTTTCAAAAAAAAAAAATTAAAAAAATTTTTTTTTTTAAAAAAATTTTTTTTTTCAAAAAAAAGTTATTTTTTGTCCAATTTATAGTTTCCCAAAAATCTTATTTTTTCAAAGTAATTTTTTTTTCAAAAATGTTAATCGTTTTTAAAAAAATTATAATTTTTGGTACGGGAAGTTCCAGCAATTTGCCTTAAGGCACGATGCCTTAATTGCCTTAAGACAGAATTCCACTTACAGCTAGTTTAACTTATTTTTATTGAGAGTCCATAACCGCTGGACTGCTTTCCCAAAAATTTAATCAGTTCTTCATCTTGTCAATACAAGTAAAATGTTTCTTGAATTATTAAAATCGGACGCTGCGATCTCTTAAAAACTGAGTTACCGTTTTTGGCACTTTTTGTTCGTATCTTCGGAACGGCTAGACATGCCTTCGACAAAAACTAATCAGCATGTCTTCATAACAATACGAATCGAATGCATTTTGAATTATTCAAATCGGTTGATCCGTATTCCCGAAATCGTCGACAAAAATTTGTATCCGCACACACACACACATACATAAATTTTTTCTAAAGTATGCCAAAATGTTCAGAAACCTTTGAAACGTATAAGATATATAAAATTTTCATTTTCGATTTCTTGTGATTACTATAACTTAAGTAATCTAGTATAAGTTAAGAATAATGGATAGTAGGTAGTGTCATAAGGAATCGATTTTAAAAAATCAAAAACTGTTCGAAAGATATTAGTTGGGAATGATACTGATTAGTTTTAGGTGAAAATCTACTGAGCCGTTTTTTTTGTAATTAACTGTTGATAAAAAAATTTAAGCTGATTTTTTGGCGTATATATCATGGTTTTATAGAACATACTAAAATATTACGGCCCTACGACAAATCGTTTAATTTTAAAAATCGTCCCGGAATCGTAAGGTTCGTCCCGGATTTCTACCTCTTATGTCCCGGGTTTTCTTAAGAGTGATATTTGTCCAGGATTTTATACTTTTGTTCCGAGTTTTTTGAAAAGTAAAGGATCAAACTGAATTTTTGCAATTACTAATTAATAAAATTAAAACTGCCCACGAATAATTCAAAAAACGTTTGATTCGTATTGATAAGGAGTCGTGCTGATTAGTTTTTGGCGAAGGCAGGTCTAGCCGTTCCGAAGATACGGAGCAAAAAGTTCCAAAAACTGTAAAATAGTTTTTAAGAGAACGGAATGTCCGATTTTAATCAAAGAACATTTTACTTGTATTGACAAGATGAAAATCTGATTAAATATTTGGGAAGGCAGGTCCAACGGTTATGGACTCTCAATAAAAATAAGTTAAAAAAATGCCATTTGGCGGTCAAAAATGTTCATTGGACATATGTACATCAAATTATCAGATATTTTATAGAGATTTGATTAATGTGTACACATTTTGTGTATTTTTTTTTTTGGTTCCGTGCCAAGATTTTTAATTACGGTACGAAAAATTCCAGCAATTTTCCAGTTTGTTAATATTTTACAAGACACAAACAGTTGATTTTAACTTAAAGTATTTATGAATTTATGTTATTAAAAAGAATAAATACTAAAAGCTCTATTAATCCGTTAGTTTCTCAAAGAACTATATGTATTTTACTACCTTGTAGAGAAATTATTATAAATATTATTCTACCAGGATTTTTTAACAATTTTAGCCGTCTTTCTGATAATATGAAGCTTTCTGGCAAAATAAGAAACGAAATATTTTAACTAATCTAATGTGATTTAACTCTGTTTATAAGAAAATAAAATAAACAATTTGTAGTATAATGATTTCACTTAACAAATATGATATACAAAATTGCAAATGTATATTAAAATTAATGCAAAAATATATTTTTTACTACTCCTATTTCATAATTGTCTTTGAATTAGATTAAAAAATATAGATATAATATTTAAAAAATATGTAAAATACTCTATGATAGACTGCTATAAATGTAAAATAATTCTTTTTATATACTTTCAAATTTAAAGACAAAATTTAATAATAATTTAAGACTTACATTTAAAAAACACGTTTTCTTCATATATTTAATAAATCAAAGCTGGCCATTTGTGTTTTTCTAGTATTATTTATTCAGAAATTTTATTTATTTTATTTATTAATATTATTATTATTATTTGCTTTTATTTTATATTAAATCATTATACTACGGATATCATTTTAATGTGAATACTATCCTTTGTACTCTTTTTTTATTTAAATTTATGTTATTGTTCATTATTATTGCTAGATTTTAAATTATTTAATAGTTGTAATAAATATTGTAATTAAAAAAATTATAATTCATACAAAATTAGTTTATTTTAACTTTCAATATTGATTGTTAACTTGATATATTGTGAGTATTATATGATAGACATTCTATTTTTTCTATAAAATCATTCAATTTTAGCACATATATGCTTTTTCAAATCGAAATCAGCAGTAAATATTTATATTGCATTTATGATAATAATCACAATCTAATTATATAATAAATTAATAATAATTGTATAAATAATTCTGCAATGTATCGGCATTACTTAGTTAATTTACATACTCAAAAAAAGGTTTTAAGTATTATAGTCGTTCTCAACTAATTAAAACCTAGAATGTTAGAAGAAAGGTATGAATATCCAATAAATTTTTGAACAATTTTTCCAAAAAATTTTTTTCAAACAATTTTTATCTTTAGACTTAACTCATATTAGCATGAAATTCAAGATTTTTTACAAAATAACTAAAAAATATATATAAATTTAAATTGTGTCAAACAAAATATATAAATATAAATTTTTTTCATTGACTTACCGTATTTCCTTGTCCAGGCACATTCAATTTATCCTTCAATCCAATAATATTACCGTTTTCTTCGTTCATTTCTCAAAAATCACAACAAAACCCTTCCAAATTCACTCCATCATCATTACCACAAAAATACCCACTATAACAATTTTGATATTTAACTTTTAAATAAAATTTATTCAATCAACACCGGTCGATTAGTCATTTTGAAAACAAAATCTGTACAAATTGTATTTTATCCTGTCATAATAATATTTTGAACAAGAGAAATAGTGTTTGATATCTGCGTGGTGGTTTTGTTAAATCGATAATGTGCGCCACGTTTTCATGTTTTCACGTTTTCTTGCCATTTGAGGTGAACGTAGTAGTAGAAACTGTCAGGGTAATAATTTTCAAGTTGGTAAATGTTGGAAAATTTTGAATTTAAAAATAAATGTTTAATGATTAAATATGATGTAATGGTCCAGAAGATCTTTACCGAAAACGAATCAGCTAAATTTCCTACTAATATCTCGGAAACAGTTCTTGTTTCTCAAATCGTTGCAAGGAAGGAAACATTAATCAAATAATTTGGCTTTTGAATATTTTCAAGAGTTCAGAGTTTAGATATTAAAATTTGTTAATATGTTATATAACGTCGTCTTTCAAGTATACTCCTACAAGAATCAAAATTTCGAAGAAAAATATTTTTAGAGGTTCTAGTGGAAGCAACCGCATATTGTGCTTAGATTTTTTGAATTTTTATGCAACCTCCAGAATCAAAATTGTCTGAAAATATTGTAAATTCTTTAAAATGTTATATGAAAATGTAGCAAATTGTCTTTACAGATTGTAAATGGCCTTAAAATGTTGCTAATTGTATTGAAATGTTGACATCTAAAAATGTTGTGAATTGTATAAAAATGTTGTGAATTATCTAAGAATGTTGTGAATTGTCTGAAAATGATGTGAATTGCCTGAAAATGTTGTAAATTGTCTGAAAATGTTGTGAATTATCTGAAAATGTTGTGAATTAACTAAGAATATTATGAATTATCTAAAAATGTTGTATTTGATCTGAGAATATTGTAAATTGACTGAAAGTGTTGAGAATTGTCTGAAAATGTTGTATTTGATCTGAGAATATTGTGATTTGTCTGAAAATGTTGTATTTGATCTGAGAATATTGTAAATTTACTGAAAATATTGTGAATTGTCGGAAATTGTTGTAAATGGCCTAAAAATGTTGTGAATTATCTAAGAATGTTGTGGGTTGTCTGAAAATGTTGTGAATTGTCCGAAAATGTTGTAAATTGTCTCAAAATGTTGTGAATTGTTGGAAAATGATTAATTTGTCTGAAAATGTTTCAATTGGTCTTTAAATGTTGTAAAATATCTCAAAATAATGCAAATCATCTGAAAATGTTGTAATTGATCTGAGAATATTCTGAATTGTCTGAAAATGTTGTAAATTGTCTAAAAAAGTTGTACAGTATCTCAAAAAAATGCAAATCATCTGAAAATTTTGTAATTGATATAAGAATATTATAAATTGTCTGAAATTGTTGCAATTCATCTGAGAATATTGAAAATGTCTGGCAATGTTGGAAAGTGATTTAATTTGTCTGAAAATATCTCAATTTGTTTCTCAAAATAATGCAAATCATCTGAAAATGTTGTAATTGATCTGATAATATTGTAAGTTGTCTGAAAATGTTGTGAATTGTCTGAAAATATTGCATTTGATTTGACAATATTGTAAAATGTTGAAGAATGATTTAATTAGTCTGAAAATGTAGTAAAGTATCTCTCAAATAATGCAAATCATCTGAAAATGTCGTAATTGATCTGGGAATATTGTAGATATACTAAAAATGTTGTAATTTGTTTTCAAATGTTGTAAATTGTCTGCAAATGTACATTTTCTTTAGAGGTTTTAGTTAGCTTTAACTGTTTGAAAATGTTGTAAATTGTATTTAAATATAGTAAATGACCTTAAACGTTGTAAACTATCTCAAAATATTGTAAATTATCTAAAAATGTCGTAAATTGTCGAAATGATTTTCAAGTTGGTAAATGGTAAAATTTGAAAATTTATTTGACAAAGAATTAATGTTCAATGTTTATTTGCAAAGAAAGGACCGGGCTGATCTTTACCAAAATCAGCACAATTCCCGACTGCCAAAATTCCCAAATTATCCCAAAATCGTTTTACGTAAGTAATTAATTTGTAAGATCAATTTAAAAATAAAAATAAAAATATGACATTGGATCTGTTTGCCCCTTGATCGTCCTATTTTGGTACTCCTTTCGACTAAAAAATACAGTTGACAAATTTTTGAACAATGGTAAAAAAAACACATTTAATTAGGAATTAACAGGAAATTTTACTGAACATAGTCAGATAGTTGTTTGTTTGATACGTGTTATGTACTTAAAGTCAAATTAGACCTTTGTGCCCCGCTCTACCCTATTTCACTTTATGGATGCCCTATTCGAGCAAAATATTAAATTACGATCAGATTGATAAAAAATATAGCCATTTGTAAGTGGCATTTTGCCGGCAAGTTGTATAAACTTGTGTAAAAAGTCGGAAATAAAATTTAAGATTTGCGATTAATTAATATCCAAATTTTTGTAAATAGACTCTTAGGGGAAAGCAAGTTAAGGATCAAAATTCATGAGCTAGGATATCAGCTCCTGATAAAATTTCATTGAGATAAAAATCTTAAAAAAATTTGGTTGTTTTGCACATCAAATTGAATTAATTTTCAATATAAATACAGTGCAGAATGAATAATTAAACAAATAAGTACATAAGCAAGTACAATTAATTGATTTTCATATTTTACATAAAATATTACTGTTTGTCCTTAATAAACACGGCGCCTAAAAAATCTTGCAAAAGTCGGAAAGTTTTAATTAAAACAAGAATAATTCTTGGCAATATATACAATACTTTTCAATTTAAACCAATATTTGAATTATTTGCTAAAATATTGACTGTGATCTCTTGCACCAGATGATCTGTCTGGTTGAGATTCAAATTATCAATCCATACAAATAAATGTTTCTTTATATAAATAAATATATATTTTAATGAAAAAAAAAATATTGTAATAATTTAATTAATAAGCATTTCTCCTTTGAAAGTAAAGATTTTTGAACATAAAATTTTCTAGCAATTTACGGCTTAAACATTTTTGCTGTTTCTTTTTAGAACAGCAATACAAGGATTATTTTTCCTATTTGTGAGATTTTTTTTTATAAAAACCCAGTTATTGTCCTTTTAATAACAGTGATTATATCAAGGAAAAGACAATTTTTGCTTGAAAATATTGTATCAAAAATATATGTGTAAAACCAAATAAACAAAGTGATACAGAAGATTCTTACTGAACACTTGTATTTGTTTTAAATACATATTTAAATAATTTTCTCATCTGGGACTCATGCAGAGGTGCAAAATCTGTACCTATCTATATTTAAGGTATAATTGAAAATTGGTCACGAAAACAAAACAGTAACCATTTGTTATTAAAAATGTAGTTTTTGAAAACAAATCCTAACTAGTGGGGTGGGTGGCATTGTGCCTTAAGGCAAATTGCTGGAAGTTCCCGTACCGTAACGAAATGTTCGAGGATTACTGAATGTTTTCAAATAGATTATTATAAATATTGTAGCATTGTCTAATATTTATAAATATTATATAAACTGAATTGCAGAGTTGAAATTATTTGTAAAGTATATTAGAACTATAGCCAGAATTAAAAATAAATATTTTTGATATACAAAAAAACTAAAAAAAAAAAAAAAAAAATTGGACAATTTTTTTTTCCAAAATCGATTATTTTGTTAAGACAAGCAGAAAGTTCTTTGAATCATTTAAATCGGACGCTTAGTTCTCTCAAAAAACTGCCATTTTTTACATATTTAGCTCCGTATCTTCAAAATGGCTGGGCCTGCCTTTGCCAAAATAATATACATTGTTTATAAGAAAAACAACCTGGCCTTAATTCAGCAAATTAAAGGTTCAAATTCTCTGTGTTTAACTTTGCGATTCCATCAAGACGCGTACAAAAACAAAAGTGGAAACAGATTTAATTCATAAACACTTTAAACCGTCATCATGAGTCCCTATAATACATATTTCATTAAAAAAAATATTGTAATAATTGTTTTCATTTGGGTGCACATAACAGTGATACTAGTCAGTTCAAATAGTAAAGAACCTTTTGATAATCTTAAAGAAAACCTGTACAAAAATTTAGGTCACCAAGATGCCGACAACGCAGTGTCTTATTTGACCAAATATTTCCAATTGACATCAGGACAATACAATATACCTTTGGTGGAAAGTTTTGAAGATGTTTACGACTTCATCATCATCGGAAGTGGACCAGGAGGTTCAGTCATGGCCAACAGATTATCCGAAGTACTAGATTGGAATATTTTAATTTTGGAAGCTGGAGAACAAGAATCACCCTTGACAGATATACCTTTGCTACCCAATATATTGCCTGAATCAAAATATGATTGGAACTACAAAACTGTATCACAAACTAGATGTTGTTCGGATCAGAAAGGATACTGCAAACAACCACGAGGTAAGGCTTTAGGAGGCACCAGCGTTATAAATTATATGGTGTATGTCAGAGGTAACAAATATGACTTCAACACTTGGCAACATTTAGGAAACACTGGTTGGGGTTATTATAATATACTTAAATATTTCAAGAAATCTGAGGACATGCAAATTAAACACCTGCAAAACTCACCATTTCACAGTACAAGTGGATATCTCACAGTAGACTTGAACAAATACCAAACACATTTAGATGATTTGCTGATACAAGCTGGTAGAGAATTAGGTTATTGGAATAATGATAACAATGGTGCTAATCAAACCGGTATTTTACACCAACAAAGTATGATTCGAGATGGTAGAAGATGCAGTGCGAGTAAAGCTTTTTTAAAACCAGTTGTTGACAGGACTAACCTGTCAATTGCCACAGGTGCATTTGTTACCAAAATTCTTATCGATCCTGATAATAAACGTGCTTATGGTGTAACTTTTACTAAAAATGGTAAAGAGCATACAACTAGAGTCAGAAAGGAGGTTATACTAAGTGCAGGTGCAATTAATTCAGCACAATTACTAATGTTGTCTGGTGTAGGACCAGCTAATCATTTACAAGATTTGGGAATTGAAGTGATACAAGACTTGCCTGTGGGTAAAGAACTAAAAAATCACTTTGGTTCACCTGATTTGCAATTCGACATTGATGGTAAGTTGCATGGAAACCAAAATGCTTGGATGAATAACAAAACAATTTTGTATTCCAGGTAACTTTGAAGTCGACATAGGTGTTCTAGGATCATCTAAACACGTCACAGATTATTTCGAAAAAGGAATAGGTCCACTCACGATACCCGATGGTATGATTGCTATAGCCTCTGTAAAAACCAGTCGATACAATATCGATTTGCCAGATGTTGAGATAAATTTTCGTGCAGCTAATTTGTACAAAGATATAGACAAAAACAAAACCCGGGATTCATTTTATGCATTTGTCTTATTATTACGTCCAAAAAGTGTCGGCAGATTACTACTTAATAGTAGAGATCCAACGGATTCGCCAAAAATAGATGTGAATTGTTTTGCAGAAAATGAAGATGTGGAAACTTTGGTGAAGGGAATCAAAGTGGTAAATATAAATAAATTGCTTAAATTGGTATAATTATTTCTTATGCAATTTGCTTTAAGGCAAATGCCACTTACACCTGATTTTGTTTTTAATTTCTAGGCGGTAGAGATGTCTCGTACAAAAGTTCTTTCTAAGTACAATGTCACCTTAAAACTTGAACCGGATGAAGAATGCGACAAATTTGGAAAAGAAACCGACGCCTACTGGAGGTGCTTTTTGAAAAATTCTACATCTGGAAATCACCAGGTAACAAATAAAAAAATCCTCAACCTTCAACCCTCCTATACCGTGATTGGTACATATTGTGTTCTTATAAAAAGTAGCTGTGTCAATTCTCAATGCTTAAATCTTTTCAGATACGTACCTGCAAAATGGGCCCAGCTGATGATCCAACCAGTGTCGTAGATCCATCGACACTAAAACCATATGGAATCCAAGGATTGAGAGTTGTGGACGCCTCTGTAATTCCAGAACCCCCGACTGGTCACACAACTGCTGTGGTTTATATGGTCGCTGAAAAGGCTGCTGATTTTGTTAAAGCTGAATGGACTTGAATTATGTAATCAATACGTAATAGACTATCTAGATATTGCCAACGGGCAATCTGTCAAAAATAGATAAATAAATAAGTAAAAAATAAGTAACAAAATATATAAGTAAATGAATACTGACCTTATGTTACACGTATGATGGCTGTCAAATTCATTATTGGATTTATTTTTTGGATTTTGTTGCTTATTTGACTAATATACTTGGTATGATAGCAATTTTAGGATATTATTATATAGAAGTATTGCTCAATCTTGTAAATAATTCAGGTTCTGAAATGATAAGAATTTTCTTTTAAGGAACTGCAAAAGTATTAATTTGTATAAGTCAAAGATGTGTTCTTTTAACATAACTTTTTTTTAAATTTTATTTTCAATTACAACCGTTAAATAACATCTAACCTACTACACGATGCCAGGAAACCCGTTGATAAAATGCACTAAGTTTGCTTAAACCGAATGTCACTTTTAGAGTGGCCGAATGCGAAATATTTCTTGCACGCCTAACATAAATATGTCTAAAGTGTCTCACTACATAAGAAAGTGCTCTTTTTTTTACCGATAATAAAAATAACTAAAATTTTTGAAAACGTGTTGAAACGATCATAGAGTTATATAAAAAAATTATAGTTTTGCCATAAGTTTGTGTGGTACTTAGTTTGCTCTGAAAAAACTGTTGTATCTTGTATGTTTTACGTATCGTTTGAAATTAAAATAAACAAAATTGGTCTCAAAACTTGAATTTTTTTTTCAGAATTAGACCCTTGATATTGTCATCTCATATAAAATTGTTTTCTGAAGTAAAATTAAGGAAAAAACAATAATTGACTGCATGCGGGATGAAAATTGACTATTATGAATTATAGGTGTTTGTAGTAAAAGGGTAAAAATTTAAGGTTGCATGTGTTTTTTGATAACAAATTATTAAAACTAGTGGGGTGGGTGGCATCGTGCCTTAAGGCAAATTGCTAGAACTTTCCGTACCGTAACGGAATAAAAAACGGAATATTATAAATATTGTAACATTGTCTAATATTTATAAGAATTATATAAACTGAATTGCTAAGTTGAAATTATTTGTTTAAAGTATATTAGAACTATAGTCAAAATTATAAATAAAATCTGAATTATTTTCGATATACAAAAAATTAAAAAAAAAAAAAAAAAATTGTAACAAAATTTTTTTTTCAAAATCAATTATTTTGTTAAGACAAGCAGAAAGTTTTTCAAATCATTTAAATCGGACGCTTAATTCTCTCAAAAACTACCATTTTTTGCACATTTCGCTCTGTATCTTCGAAATGGCTAAGCCTGCCTCTGCCAAAAACTAATAAACACTTCTCCCAATCATTACTTATTGAATGTTTTTTTGATCATTCAAATCGGATACTCCGTTCTCTCAAAAAGTCGATTTCTATTTTCTGCACTCTTTGCTCCGTATCTCCGAAACGGCTGGACCTGCCTTTGCCAAAAACTAATCAGCTCTTTTCCCTATTTATAGGAATCGAATGTTTTATGAACCATTCAAATCGGTTGATCCGTGCGCCCGAAAACGTGGCCAAAAATTGTATCCATACATACATACACACAAACACACACAGTGACCTGCGCTCTATGGAAAGAGAAAGGACGAATGGGACTTCGCCCTTTTTAAAGATGAGTATAAAATCAAGTGAAGAATTGTAACATTCTAGATCCTCCCCCCACAAAGTAATGCCTAACGGCGGTTTCCGTGGAAACCAGAGGCAAGGGCAAAGCGGAGGTTTTAATCGGTATTATACCAGGGCGGTATTGAGTCCGACATACCCAGACAGAACACCAGTCTGGGATGCATAAAGGCATTTCCTTCGACATACAAAAAAAAACATCAAATTTTTCTGAGGTATGCCAAAATGTTCAGAAACATTTAAAACATCGAGAAATGTAAAAATTTTCAATTTCGATTTTTGGACGATTACAATAACCTACACTACGGGAAGTTAATGAAATAAAAAAATAATCCATAAACTGAAAACAATCTTAAGAATGACCAATTCTTACCACCAAGAGGTATACGAGGTCTGTTCAAAAAGTACCCGGAATTTTCGTTTTTTCAAAAAAATATTTATTTATTCGTCTACATTAATGTGGTCCCCTTCAAAGTAGTCCCCCCCCCCAGATATAATACACTTATGCCAGCGTTTTTTCCAATTTTCGAAGCACCCTTGATATTCACTTTTTGATATGTCCTTGAGCACTCTCGGCGATTTTCTTCAATCGAGGAAAACCGCCGTCCTTTCATGGGTCTCTTCAACTTTGGGAATAGGAAAAAGTCACACGGAGCCATATCTGGTGAATTTTTGCACTTTGCAACACTTTATTTCATTTTTTACGCAAAATTTAATACAAATTCTTTGACTTTTCAATTCTTCCATTGTAAAAATCGCCGAGCTCAGAAAAACACGTCGAACCTTAGCGACTACCACAGACAAAGTAAACAGTGAATATAGCTGAAAATTTCATCATACTTTAGGGGCATGTATACCAACACAATAAAAAAAAATTTTGACAATCAGACACTCCAGACCCGCGAAATTTAATTATTAGTAATTCCGGGTACTTTTTGAACACACCTCGTAAAAAATAGATGTTGCCCAATTCTCAGTCACACTGCCTCATAAAAATCGGTTTGTTGTTTCAGCAGAGTATTGTCAGAGTATTCACACACACACACAAACACCCACACAGACACACAGACACACACACACACACACACACACACACACACACACACACACACACACACATATATATATATATATATATATACATATATATACAAGTGCATGTGTGCTAATATAAATACCATTTATCAAATACATTATAAAAATATTTGAATTATTTGCAATAATATTTACAGTGACTCCTCACACCAGACAAAGTGTTTGATTACAATTGTATTTGCAATTCCATCAAGATGCAGACAAAAACAAAAGTGGAAACAGATTCAGTTCATAAACACTTCAAACCGTCATGATGGTTTCTTATAGTATAAGATTTATTAACAAAAATATTATAATAATTATTTTTATTTGGCTAAGGTTATTAGTTAGTGCAAATAGTAGTAGTCAAGAAAAAGAACCTTTTGAGAATGTTAAAGAAAAGCTTTACAAAAATTTAGATCTGCAAGATGCCGACAACGCAGTGTCTATGTTAACCAAATATTTCCAATTGACATCAGGACAATACAATATTCCTTAGGTAAAAAATTTTGAAGATGTTTATGATTTCATCATCATTGGGAGCGGACCAGGAGGTTCAGTTATGGCCAACAGATTGTCTGAAGTACCCGAGTGGAATATTTTAATCTTGGAAGCTGGTGAACAAGAATCTCCTTTGACCGATATACCTCTATTAGCTAGTACATTGCATGAATCAAAATATGATTGGAATTACAAAAGTTTGCCACAAACCAGATGCTGTTTGGATCAACAAGGATACTGCAAACAACCAAGAGGTAAAGCTTTAGGAGGTTCCACCACCATCAATGGTATGGCATATGTTAGAGGTAACAAATATGACTACAACACTTGGCAAAATTTAGGAAATACTGGTTGGGGTTATTATAACATACTTAAATATTTCAAGAAATCAGAAGATATGCAAATAAAACACCTGCAAAACTCACCATTTCACAGTACAGGTGGTTATCTAACAATAGAGTTAAACAAATACAAAACAAACTTAGATGATTTGCTTATACAAGCTGGTGCAGAATTAGGTTATTGGAATAATGACAACAATGGTGCTAATCAGACTGGTATTTTACGCCAACAAAGTATGATTCGAGATGGTAAAAGATGCAGTGCCAGTAAAGCTTTTTTAAAACCAGTTGCTGATAGGACTAACTTGTCAATTGCCACAGGTGCATTTGTCACCAAAATTCTTATTGACCCTGAAAGTAAACGTGCTTATGGTGTAACTTTTACTAAACATGGTAAAGAGTATACAATCAGAGTCAGAAAAGAGGTCATACTAAGTGCAGGAGCAATTAATTCACCACAATTGCTGATGTTGTCTGGTGTAGGACCAGCTGATCATCTACAAGATTTGGGAATTGAAGTGATAAAAGATTTGTCTGTCGGTAAAACAGACAGAGGTTTAGGTTGCTTCACCTAATTTAGTGTTTGACATTGATGGTAAGTTGGAAGCTACTTTATGAATTCTAAAACCGTATATATAGCAAATAACAATCGTTTGTATTCTAGGTCAATTTGAATTGGATATTGGAGTTCTTGGATCGTATAAACACGTCACTGATTATTTTGATAAAGGAATCGGCCCACTAACTTTGCCGGAAGGGATGGTTACCATAGTCTCTATAAAAACGAGTCCATATAATATCAATCTGCCAGATGTTGAAATAATTTTTGCCGCTGCCAATTTGTACACAGACATAGACAAAACCAAAAAGCGAGATTCATTTTACGCATTTGTCTTATCATTTCGTCCAAAAAGTGTCGGGAGTTTACTACTGAACAGTAGAGATCCAAAGGATCCACCGAAAATAGATTTGAATTGTTTTGCAGAAAACGAGGATGTGGAAACTATGGTGAAAGGACTCAAAGTGGTAAATTTTTGTTAACAAAATTTCAGTCCATTAATTAATCCCATTTAAAAAAATGCGGCTTACACCTAGGTTTTTATTTCAAGGCGGTGGCGATTTCTCGCACAAAAGTTCTTTCCAAGTATAATGTCACCTTAAAACTTGAACCGGATGAAGAATGCGACAAATTTGGAAGAGAAACAGACAAATACTGGGTGTGCTTTTTAAAAAATTCTAGATCTGGATCTCACCAGGTAATGTGATGTATGTATACGAAGATGAATTTTCAATAAAGATGTTAAAAATCTTTTCAGATAAGTACCTGCAAAATGGGTCCAGCTGATGATCCATCCAGTGTCGTAGATCCATCCTCCCTAAAACCATATGGAATCCAAGGATTGCGAGTCGTGGACGCCTCTGTAATTCCAGAACCCCCAACTGGTCATACAACTGCTGTGGTTTATATGGTCGCTGAAAAAGCAGCTGATTTCGTTAAGGCTGAATGGGCTTGAATTGTATAATTAATGCAACATACCTCATCTTAATGATGCCAAGAGATCGAGAATAGGTTCTAGAATTAAGGAAACATTACTCTGTAAATTAAATTTAAAATTTATAATACAAAAAATAAATACAATTTTATTACCTGCATACAAAATGTATATGCAATTACAGTTAAGTAATTAGGTTTTTAAGTCAAAATACAGCAATTAGGTTTACTGATGAATCACTTTTTATTGATGATGTCCATTTTTTACACTTGTTGAAATATTTCTGCTACTTGCGTTAAGGCAAAATACCACGTACAACTATTTTAGAGTAAAAATTAGAGTATGTTATAAATAAAGACAACCACTGAATATATTATTGTGTTTTTGCCATGATTTTAGTTTAAATAATATGACAATTTTTATGAAAGAAGTCATGGTTCTAAAATCGTATTGAAATATTATGGCCCTAAGACAAGTGGTTTATTTTGAAAATGTATACAAGTTTGAAAAATATGATGTGTCAAAAGTCGATACTTGAGTCGTCTGTTGGCACTATGAAAATACGCCTGGTTGCTTTCATCCTGTTGTACATGTATACAGTAACGTCGGGAGCCAAAATAACGAACGAGCAAACGAATATAAACGAACATTTTTGTTGTGATATCTATTTGTTATATTGCGATTATTGTATGTGGCTACTGGGTCCTAAATGAAATAAAAAGGTTTTCTATATTCTGGCATACTGAAAATCCATTTTATAAAATCATTAGGAAAAAAACTATATATGGGAAAATGTAGGCAAATCGTTTGGGACGCCAGAAGCTGTTGAAATTGCAAAAAATGTTAAGCATGGAGGTTGATTAGACCCTTTTGGAATAGTTTATGGTATTTGATTCAATAGCTACTTCGAGGATTTTGTAAAATTGTGTATATTAATAAAATATTTGAGGTTATCTGCTTTGAAGCCTACCCAGTTGGATTGCTGCTTAAAGTCTGAAACTTTCAGCTCACTCTCGGAACTAATACTGAGAAATGACACCAAAAAACACAATAAAGAACACTGGTTGCAATTAATAAAAGGTAAGTCATGGAAAATACATTAAACTCTAACGAAAAACAAGTAAATATAGCAAGTTAATAAACGAGAGAACTCATAGACGTTAATGATTAGCGCTTATAGACAAATCTTCCAGAGATTAAGTATGTGTGATTCTGATGTAATTTGCTGGTGACATCTAACGTCGTTCTGGCGCGAACCAGTAAATAAATATTAAATACAAACACTGAATGAAATCAATTGAATAATTTAATTACAAAATAATTAATAATGTAATTTACACAATATACACAAACAAAAATATTTATTATTAATATGAATGTAAGCTTTAATTATTCGCCCTCACGATTTTTGTTCAAGTTCGTTCGGAATAATTCGCCATCGTTCGTTCGTGTTCGTTTTTCTTCGTATTTTCTTGTACGTCGTGTTCGCACGTTTAGAGAAGAGAAAACAAATGAAAATGTAATAAAAATGGCGAAATGTCAGTTTTTATCTATTAAGTTTGTTATGTTACACAAGCTACGTTAAAGTTAATATATTAAAAACTAGAAATTTAGTAACTGTGATTGTTCTTACTGTGATTGTGAAGTTAAGAATAAGAATATCGCGCAAGTTAGAGGATCCCTAAGAAAAATAATCAAAGATGTCGAATCGAAGTGAGTATTATGACAGTTCCGATGATGAAGGACAAACGGAGCGAGGTTTCGAGAACATTTATGTAGATCCTGACGGAAAAAGGACCTATGTTAGACAATCAAAGTCTGCAAGTAAATCTCATCATCATTTCGAAAACCCAGAACAAATCGAGCAAGGCTTTGAAGAGAATTATTCAAATCCAGACAGGAAAATATCGTCTGTTAGACAAGCCAAGTCCGCAAGTAGGTCTCATTATTATCCCCAAGGCTTCGAAAAAGTTTATTCAGATCCAAGCAAGAAAAAATCGTCTGTTAGACAAGCAAAGTCCACGAGTAGGTCTCATTATTATCCCGAAGACCAAGACCAAATCGAGGAAGGCTTCGAGGACATTTTTTCAGATCCCGACAGAAAAAATCGAGCCAAATCCGCGAGTAATTTTCATCATTACTCCGAAGACCAAATACAAATCGAACAAGGCTTCGAAGACACCTATTTAGATCCTGATAGGAAACCAACCTCTGTTAGACAATCCCAATCTGCGAGTAAATTTCATCGTCATTTCGAAGACCAAGAACAAATTGAGCAAGGATTCGAAGAAATTTATTCGGATCCAAACAAGAAAAAATCGTCTGTAAGACAAGCCATGTCCGCGAAAAGGTCTCATTATTATCCCGAAGACCAAGAACAAATGGAACAAGGCTTCGAAAAAGTTTATTCAGATCCAAACAAGAAAAAATCGTCGGTTAGACAAGCAAAGTCCACAAGTAGATCTCATTATTATCCCGAAGACCAAGATCAAATCGAGCAAGGCTACGAGAACACCTATTTAGATCCTGATAGGAAACGAACCTATATTATACAACCAAAGTCCGCGAGTAAATCCCATCATCCTTTCGAAGACCAAGAACAAATCCAGAGCACTTATTTAGATCCTGATGGAAACATAACCTATGTTATACAACCAAAATCCGCGAATAAAACTCGTGATCATTCCGAAGACCAACAACAAATGAAGCAGGACTTCAAAAACATTGATTCAGATCCTGAGAAGCAAGAAACCTACGTTAGACAACCAAAATCTGCAAGTAAATCCCATCATCACTCCGAAAACCAAGACCAAATCGAGAGCACTTATTTAGATTCTGATGGCAACATAACCTATGTCATACAACCAAAATCCGCGAGTATGACTCATAAGCATTTCGAAGACCAAGAAGAATTTGAGCAAGTCTACAAAGAAATTTTCTCAGATCCTTACAGGAAAAAAACCGATGTTAGACAACCAAAATCTGCAAGTAAATCTCATCATCACTTCGATGACCAAGACCAAATCGAGAACACTTATTTAGATTCTGATGGGAACATAACCTATGTTATACAATCAAAATCCGCGAGTAAAACTCGTAAGCATTTCGAAGACCAAGAAGAATTTGAGCAAGGCTTCAAAAACATTTTCTCAGGCCCTTACAGGAGAAAAACCGACGCCAGACAACCAAAACCCACAAGTAAATCTTATGATCATTTCCAAGACCAAGAACAACTCGTGCAAATCTTCGAGAACTTTCATTCAGATCCTGAAAGGGAAAGAACCTACGCAAGACAACGCAAGTCTTCAAGTACATCTCATCATAACTCAGAAGACAAAGAACAAATCGAGAACACTTATTTAGATTCTGATTGGAACATAACCTATGTTAAACAACCAAAGTCCGCGAGTAAAACTCGTCATCAGTCCGAAGACCAAGGACAAATGGAGAACTCCTATTTAGATCCTGATATGAGAAGGACCTATGTTAGACAAGCCAAGTCCATGGGTAAATCTCGTCATCATTGCGAAGACCAAGAACAAATCGGGCAAGAGGACATTTATCTAGATCATGACAGTAAAAGAACCTACGTTAGACAACCAAAGTCTGCAAGTAAATTTCATCAACATTTTGAAAACCAAAAGCAACTCGAGCAAGGCTTCGAAAACGCCTATTTAGATTCTGATAGAAAACAAACTTACATTAGACAACGAAAGTCTGCGAGTAAATCTCATCATCACTCCAAAGACCAAGCAGAAATTGAGCAAGGCTTCGAAGACACTTGTTTAAATCTCGGTAGGAGAAGCACCTACGTTAGACAACCAAAGTCTGCAAGCAAATCTTACCATCACTCCAAAGACCAAGAAGAAATCGAGCAAGGCTACGAGAATACTTATGTAGATCCTAATAGGAAACCAACCTACATTAGGCAACCAAAGTCTGCGAGCAAATCGCATCACTCCGAAAACCAAGGGCAACTCGAGCAAGTCTTCGATAAATTTCATTTAGATCCTGACAGGAAAATGACTTGCAAAATACAGCCAACGTCCTGCCCAGTACATTACGTGGATATTGACGACTCAGAAGATCTGTCCGACCAACCTCTCCCAAACAGAAATCTCACACCATCAGTGGGGTACGCGAATAGTTTTGTCTCCCAAAATCCACACGACGACTGTATACAGTATGGACGTAAAGTAAAAAAATTAAAAACCAGACGTCAACGGGATCGAGAACATCAAATTCAGGGATTCAAGAAACATGAGGAGCAAATCCATTCACACAATCCCAGAAGTTCGGTTTCAGGAGCTGCCAGAGTCGCTGGCAGTAGATCTAATCCTGGATGTTCCCAATTTCCTTTAGAATTTGATGAGCCTGAAATAGTCAGACATTCGTCTCAAGATGCAGAACGTAGCGCCAAAGAAATTTACAGTTTTAGTACCAAAGCGACTCGAAATACAACATCAGAAGTTCCAGAGACCATTCCTGGCTCTTCGTATCAACATGGTTATTTAGACGTACCAAGTAGATCAATCCCCGGTAATTCTAGCCAGTTTCGTTTGGAATTTGATGAGCCTGAAATAGTCAGACATTCGTCCCAAGATGCAAAACGTAGCGCCAAAGAAAGTCACAGTTTTACTACCAAAGCGACTCGAAATACCACATCAGAAGTTCCGGAGACCATTCCTGTCTCTTCGTATCAACGTGGTTATTTAGACGTACCAAGTAGATCAATCCCCGGTAATTCTAGCCAGTTTCCTTTAGAATTTGATGGGCCAGAAAGAGTCAAACATTCGTCCCAAGATGCAAAACATAGCGCCAAAGAATGTTACAGTTTTAGTACCAAAGCGACTCGAAATACCACATCAGAAGTTCCACAGACAATTCCTGGCTCTTCGTATCAACATGGTTATTTAGACGTACCTAGGAGATCAATCCCCGGTAATTCTAGCCAGTTTCCTTTAGAATTTGATGGGCCTGAAAGAGTCAAACATTCGTCCAGAGATGCAAAACGTAGCGCCCCAGAAAGTCGCAGTTTTACTACCAAAGCGACTCGAAATACAACATCAGAAGTTCCAGAGACTATTCCTGGCTCTTCGTATCAACGTGGTTATTTAGACGTACCTAGTAGATCAATCCCCGGTAGTTCTAGAATTCCTTTGGTTGATGGTTCAAATAAAACAAAGAAATCAAAATCGGGAAATTCCAAAAAAGCCCTGCGATCGATTCAGTCTGAACCAATAAAACAATCGCCCAGCAAAGCCAAAAGTGCTGCCAAAAATAGCGGTCACGATATTAAAGCAACAAGAGCAAGTGCTCCTACAGCTTACAAGAATACGCCAACTTTACTAAAGCCACAGAAACTGGTAATTCCAACTCCCAGAAAGGCGCATTTGTCCTTTGAATTTCCTACTTATTACGAACCACCATTGCCAGATGATTATGTACCACTTGAGCCAGAGGTTTCCCTTGCAACCGTAACCCAGGGCTTCAAAGAGCCAAACATAGATGAAGTCTTTTTGTATGATAAGACAGATTTAAAAACAGCAATAAAGAAAAAGATTTTGTCGGGTGAAGACTGTGATGTCACGATCATTTTGGAAAATGAAGACCCTATCGCTGTCCACTATATTGTCCTGGCTAGTTACTCCGAATTTTTTCGCACAACACAAGGAGATGTATATGAATTGTCCAAAGAGTTTGTTACTCGTAAAGCTTTTTATGCTATTTACCAATGGATGATTTCAGATGTAAAAGGATGCTGTGCCAAATCCATCACGAGAGACAACATTTTTGAAGTTTATGTAGGAGCCGCGAATTTGGGCATTCCTGAATTATATGAACAAATCTGGTGCATTTTAGATAACCCCGACAATTTTGACGAATACACCGCGTTCTGTGCCATGATGGAAGCTGACAAAATGCAGTTGGCGCACATTTCTGATATGATGTCGCAAAGGATCAGAAAGTTCTTTCAAATCCTTATCTCCAGTAGTGATTACTTAACTATGAAACCGGATTTAGTGTGCAAACTTCTCGACTCGAACTATATCACCATAAACGCGGAAACTGAAGTCGCAATGGCGGCGTTGCATTGGTTGAAACAAAATTGGCCCAGCAGAAAACCGCAGGCCGAAAAAATTATGAGCTGCGTGCGATATGGCCTAATGCCGCCTCCGATTTTGGTAGAACTCGGCTTATCAAAACTGGGGCCCGAAATCTGCGAAATCATGGCCATTCCGCAAATAAATCGATGGCGCATGGAAGGCATGGGGTATAGTATTATAATCTACAGTGGATACAAAGACGATCTCGAAAATTACCTGCAAGTGCTAGCACAAAATGGTCGGAATTTCTCTGGCGTTAGCAAGACTTATACCGGTTACAAAGATTTTTTAGAACATCTTGCTACCATGCGATCGTTTTGCTTTGATAGAATCGCTGGACGCCAAAAACAGGAGCAGTCACAGGATATACCTTTAGGAGATCAACATCGTGAACCAGAACCAGAACCAGAACCGGAACCAAATCAAAAACGTGAACATCATGGTAAGAAGAAACATCGTCGAGGTGAATCAGCTCAAAAAAGGCACCATCTCGATGCTGATGATCATGAAGTGCAAGCGCAACGTAAATTGTTTCCGTCAGATTACGAAGAGTATTAACCATTTGAATATTTTAATAATAATTAATTTACATCTAACGAAATTTTCTAATTCGATTTTAATAAAATTTGTATATTTGTACTTACATATTTGTGAGAAATAAAAATTTTGATCTATGATTTGAGACGTTCTTACTTAAAGGAGAAAATTTTTAACCTTCTTGAGTATTATAATTTTACATTTCTATGTTTATAACTGTTTAATATGTATTTCAATGAATTAGTTACAATTGTAATAGTTTATTATTACAGTGGTGCATGGCATCGTGCCTTAAGACAAATTGCTGGAACTTCCAGTACCAAAAATTTAAATATATAGTTATAATTTTTAACTTTACGCCGGGAAATTTTTTGAAAATTTTGAACTTTTTTCAAATCGCGCTGCGTAGCCGTCTTGAAGACGAAATTTCGAAGCGCATAAGCGCCGCGTCAGTCTTACGGATAAATATTGGTACGGAACCTATAAAAATAAAAACAGAATTTTTACTTCTATTTTGTCATACAAATCTAATATAGACACAAAGAACTACAATTATTAATATTACTATAATTTAAATAAAGACAACAAGAAAATGCAAATATTTTAAGGATAACATTTTTGGGGACGTCCATAAGTCACGTGATCGATTTTTAAGGATTTGCGAGTATTCAAAATTACTCCCACTCCACCACCAAACATCACGTGTTTAGTTAGGAAAAAAAAGGTAAAGTTTTCATTTTTTTACCAAAAAAATTCGTGATTTTTTGGCAAACCTCCCTCTCCCTCTAAAAACCTCACGTGATTAATGGATCCCCTTTTGTAATAATAGTACAATCTATACTATTAACCCTTTCATTATGAGCATCACTAACGTGACGACCTCTGGGTACGAAAGTCGTCTATAAAAGACATCCAAGGTATGTACATTTAATTTCTATCGCTTTGAGTTGAATTATTGAGAATTCTAATTTGTTATTGTAAATTTTAAATGTATAATTTATGAGTTTTAAATACATTTTTATCGGCAATGATTGAAAAATTATAAATATTTTCTCTTAAAAATACTTGAGCCACTTGCTGGCTTGTACAGCAGAGTCAATTAATCAGAAATTCTATTCTATTCGTCTACAATCAGAAATTAATTCAGATAGTATAGTTTTTAGTCACTTTACATTTTTAAATTTTAAATTATAAATATGTTAGTTTAGAAACATACTGAGTACTTATTTCCAATATAACAACAACTGCAATCATTGCACTTCATTTGATAAATATAATTTTAACTTCAAGAGTTCTTGATTTTAACATTAAAAAATGCCTGGAGTAAAGAGTGGACGAAAGAAAACCATCAGAATATAACTTATTTGAAAAATAGTAATACAAATCAAAATCATCAACGTTTTCTTTAAATTTTAGCTGTATGACGACACATATCAGATGTCTAAACGTGTCTCATTTCGAGTGAAATGCATTAGAAAATTTTGTGTTATTTGTAGGTATTTGTTTTTTACTTACATTTTTCTTTACGAAACTAACAAGTGTTGCACCTTTTAGCAATCCTGATTAAAACCACAAACTTTCAATAAAACTTCCTAATACACTGCAGTGGTTCTTTTTTAAATGAAACTCTTCCAAAGTCAATCAATCTTGAACATTTTCAATTTACAGTTCAACAAACAGTCTTGATTCTAGAGCCATCGTGTCATTATTTTTTATTATTTGGACCTAGAAATCTTATTCACGAAAATTAACCCTAATGGCCAAAAAATTGCAGCAATTTCACCAAAACTCTAGGAGCTTGGGCCCTGCACCATCAAAGTTGCAGATACTGTTCCCGTCTCGGACAACCTGATATCAAACAGTAGTGATATCAGACTTCACTTGAAAATATACATCTAAATATAATTCCAAGTGAAAGTAGCCTTACGGGGTAATAATGCAAAGTTTAACAAAACACTATTCTAAATATTTAATAATAACTTCATCACCAACAGAATGGACAACCATTGGGTTGCCTTCACTGGGTTATGAGGAATTACATCACAACAGCTGATGGAACACTTGAGTTCTGATTGCTGATTATAATAATAATAATCATCATAAATAGCATATTTTTTCTATATCTGTCACGTACACAACTGGGTGTAAGTGGCATTTTGCCTTTAGGAAAGTTGCATGAAATACCCGATGTTATATGTTATATGTTAATGATCGCCTCTCAGATCAAATTTATTACTAAAACAAAGTGATCAATAAAACAAACACCATTTCGGTAATTTTCTCTAACATTTATTTTAAAGTAAAAGTAAGTATCAAATTATAATCTAGCTAGATATAACGAACGATAGCAAATTTCAAAAAATATATTCTACCCAAATATATTTTCCAAAAAAGCCTGTCATTCGAAACAATAAATAAATTACTTGGATTCATCATCAGTTTTGATAATGATAGCCTTGGTTCGAAGGTGGCAAGTAGGCGGCATTCGCCGATCTGAAATAGAAAAAGATAATAAATATTTTAAAATACGAGATTTATTTATTTCTGACAACTAATTTCAAATTATTAATGACGAAAACGGCTTCATTAGCAACGCATTTGCATAATTTTTAATGATGGATTTGAGTTTTCGGCGTTGAACGAGATTTTTGGAGTCAAGGATGAAAAGATTGAGGAAGTTAAAACAAAATTATAAACTTAATAAAATTTATGAAATTTTGTTTCGATTATTAAATAAATTAATGTATATAATATAATTAAATCTAATGTATAATTAAAAAATAAAACAAATAGATAACCGAAATGACAAGACAACGAATTTGTTGAAGGACTATATGGTATTAATATTGGTAATTTTGTTTTAATTACATTATTTATTTTTATACAATGATTATTACTGAAATTTATATGTATATATATATATATATATATATATATATATAATTATTATAAATCGATGAATACATAAGAGATGCATTTATAAATAGTGAATAAATAGTGACCAGAATTTTATATAAAATGTGCATTTAAATGTGCAGTAGAATAGTCTATAGTTGTCTTATAGACTTTTGTTGGTAAAAATAAGTTATATTTTATTTAATATCAACATTTAAATTGGGAAAACATATGGCAATGAAAATTTGATTTAAAATGTGCATTTTAGTTAAAAAAATAAAATGTTGTTTAAAGAGTTTTGTGGTAAAAAAGTTTTGTACTTTTGTTCATGTAAATTGCATCTTTAACTTTAACGCAATCAATTCTATAATTTTGATTATTTTATGATAATTTCAATTTATGCAAAGACGTTTTAAACATTTCTTCCCAAAAACAATTTTTGCTAGAAATTTTGTTTCTATTAATTTTCTTTTACAAAGTTGTTAATGTTCTAAAATTTTTAGCAAAAATTGAATTAAAGACAAAGATTTGATTAAACCAAATAAAATTTAATAACATAAAATTTACTGATTGAAATAAAAGGTGAAAACAAAATCTTGCTAATTATTTTATTATCTCAAATTTTATAATTATAAAAATTAATAAACATTAAATAAATAGATCAATATACTATAATATATTGTTATCTCTATTTACAGTTTGATTGTTTATAAAATGTTGTTTGAATTAATAAAACAATTAGCGAATACTTGTAAACGTTAAAAAAAGTTTGAAAAATTTAAAGCATTTTGTGAAACAATTATTAAAATTGATTGCTTAGGTTAGAATTAGCTTAGAATTCATGAAAAAATGTTTAAAAATAGTAAATGTGATGAAAAAAAATATTTTAACAAATATAGATAGAAGTATGTATGAATTGAACTCTTCTTATCGTAAGAAACATCGCAATGTAAATAATATAAATCTAGTTAGTATTGGTATTTTGCCTTTAGGCAAGTTACATGAACTTCCTGATATGTGTAAATAATCGACCTAATCAATAAAAAATAAATTAATTTATGAGTGATTAAAAGTATTTCAAGTGGATTTATTACAAATCATTGAAAAGCGAACACGTTAATCCAATCGGAGTATTTTCTAAAAGCCAATTTCCACAAATTTACAATTTTTATAATTGAACTAGTTTCCGTAGGACTTTAATAGTTTAGTATGTTCATTAGGACCAAATACTCTATTGTTATATCAAGTATATCGTCCAATTTTAATTTTAACAAACATCAAAAAAATTACTCATTTTCTCAAACTTTGATGAATTTTTAAAATTAAACTGCTTGTCGTAAAGCCATAATATTTCAGTAAGTTCTGTAAGACCATGATATATATCGCCAAAAAAAGTTCCATAAAAATCGGCTTAAATTTTTTTCAACGGTTAATTACAAGAAAGCGGTTCGGTAGATTTTCACCTAAAACTAATCAGTATCATTCCCAACTAATATCTTTCGAACAGTTTTTGATTTTTTGAAATCGATTCGGTAGTATGAGCTTAAATGTGGACGAAAGGTTTAACACTTTTTTCCAAATTTCAAATAAACGGCTCGGCCGATCGTCGCACAGAACTTAGGAACTATAGTGCTCATTGAGATACATCAAACGGCTTTAAAATTTTTGAAATCGGTTCAGCCGTTTTTGAGAAAACTTTGATTTACGGCAAAAAATCTGGTCACACACACACACACACACAGTCTCATTCGATTCAGAATGGCTTGAAACGTCGAGAAAATATAAAATTAGCGAATCGGATTTTTTGATGAAAACATAAACTTCTCCTTCGGGAAGTTAATAATGAGTTCTATTATAATTTTTTTTCTACTCACGGTGCTTGTTTCTGTTGCGTCGTGGTTACTGGGTGATATCCGTATTTATCGGCGGTGTAATGGACTGTGTGCACCTTGCCGGTAGGATCGGTGTACGAGTAAGAGCCGGAGACGCTCAAGGAGGGCTCTTCGCCGTCGTTGAAGTCCTTCAGTTCGCCCTTTTGCTCTTGTTTGGTGCCGTCGGCGCTCTCGAAACTGAAAAATAAAAGTTAGAGTTAATGGTAATAAAAATGATATACAGTACAAGTTCCTTGTTTCTTCCTTCAATCGCGTTTTCGCGGCCAAAAAAAATTGCTACCCAATTCCTATATTCGCGGCAAAACATGTCATTTTTCGCATTCCAATATTAGTACAGTAAACGGAGCGTTTTAGGTTTGAATTTTTTTACTGTTCTCCGAACTGAATGAAATTTTGGAATTAGTTTCATCTTACCCTCAAGTTCAAAAGTGAAAACAATTCGGGTTGCGCCATCACCCCCCGGAAGAATGACACCCCTTCTCAATCGTGTAATTACATTTTTTCAAAATAACGTCGGAAATCGATAGAAGAACTAATTATAAGAAAAAAATGTATTCTATAGTTTTTCAAAAAAACTAATACTTTTCAAGTTCCTGGCCACTAAAGATTCATATATTTTTGGCGTTTTTCTTCGTTTTTTTTTGCAAATATCTCCTAAAATATACATTTTAACGAAAATCATGTAATGAACAAAATAATGTCAATAAAAATCTTAATAAATCGGTATTACATAAAGTGTTCTAGGAAAAATATTAAGCAAGATTTGAAAGAGCAAATTCGTTTTTTATTTTGTTCAAGATTTAATTGTTGTATTTAAAGCCATCTAGTGTCGAGGTTTTACATTTTATGCATTTCGGTGAAATTGAGTTTTATAGTGCTCAACATAAGCTTTAAAATGAGTGCTGTTACAAGTTTGTTACGTGTAAAATTAGTGAGCTATCATGCAAATAAGAAGCATTTACGAAGTTTTTTTCTTTTAAACCATATGGTTTAATGAGCGCCATTTCCACCAGAATTAAAGCAATTCACATTCCATCTAGAATTCACTTAATTATAGATATCTTGATGGATTCTAGCAGATTCACTACTTTAGTACAAACTATTTTCAGAAAACTCACGATTTTATAAAAACTTTTTTAAAAAGAAAAAAAGGTTATACTCTTTTTTCCTCTCCGTTTACTGAACTATATGTATTATACCCAAAATCCTTTATAAGTCATTTTGAACCAATAAAGAAAACTTTGACATAATCCGTCTTCATTGCCTTTGGCCGTCTTTGCCGCTATCGATGATTTTGAGAAAAAAAATTATTTTATTTTTAAATATATAGCCCACAGATTTCTTCGAATAGGATAACCATATAAACAAAATTACAATATAGTAAAATTAAAAATGTGCTTAACATAAAATTACATATAATACAGAATGTAACAATATTATTTATTTACAGAATAAGATAAAATAATGAAAAATATTTGGAAAAAAAAATAAAAAGGTTAACTTGTGCAGATAGAGATTATTTGATTAGGTGAAGTGTTGTGAATATCTATTTCATTATTAATTAAGTTAAAGTTAGAGGACATAAGGCGAATTTAAGAGAGAATTAGATTTAGGAGCAGGATAATTAAAGAATAATTGTGAACACGTAGATAGTCTTCGAACATTGAAGAATAGTTGGTTAAGAATAAAAGGACAGTCTATAGCATTATTGAAAAGTTTAAATAAGAACATAATAGTACAGATAAATCGACGTGAGGCAAGAGAAGGTAAACCGAATTCTTTTAATAAAGTGTTGTGGTCAAAGCCTGGTTCAGGGTAAATTTTATTTATGCTTTATAATAAAGATATTTTAGAAATTTTCGCTAAACTTTTAGAGTTGTTGATCTGATGAGGATACCGAATGATCAAACCATATCTAACTTTGAACGTACATTTGAATAGTACATGCAAAGAAGTGCATTATTTGAATTGAGTTATTAACAATTTTTCAGTATCATTCCTAAAGATTTATGTGCTCTGTTACAAATATCAGCTATATGATCGGTAAAAAACAAACCAGATTCAAATAAAACTCCTAAGCCTGATATTTTGTTAAATCTATCAATGCAGATGTTAGGGATTAATTATTCATAATGTATTAGAACTCGCTTATGTGAAAAATTAAGAATTTTGCATTTTGATATATTTAAATGTAGTTTGTTATAGACACACCAAATATATTATGTGAAAATGTAAACCTTATTTATTACTCAATAAATAAAATATATTTTTAGCAAAATTTTACTCAAATCAACATGAAATTCACATCAGTTGTTTCTACAAGCATTAAAAACGTGACATTTAATTTGAAAAACCTTATTGAAGAATTAAATTTTTAATATGGGATCTGTTATACTTAAGATATTGCATATTACAAAATAGTTTTCAACACTTTTTTGTCACTTTGGAACGTATTTCCCATAACATCTAGGGCTTCAACTATAACCTAATCCATGCGATTTTCAATAAATGAATTTCAAGCAAACTTTTTATTAATTATAGTGCGATCAATTATTCTAAACTTTAAATAAATTTTTCAATTATATTATAAAAATATAGTACTTATTTCATTTATATAGCATATTTTGAATAAAATATACTAATTCTTCATTTAATTCTTGAACATTGTCTTCTATATTATCACTGAAATGATAATATAAATGATTTATGATATTATAAATGATAAATGATTTATATATTACAAAATGATTTAAAAGTTTAGTAAAGAAAATCAATTTATTTCGACTAACCGTAGCCTTTTACATTCATATTGAAGGCCGTTGAAATCTTTCCTAATATTTTTGAATTTCAATCAACATTTCATTAAAATAACGCATCTGTTCTAATATGCTTATTTTAATAATGAATTCATACAAAATCGTAATTTATTGCCGACATTTTCGCCATTGATGCGTAAACTAACACAAGTAGAAATTTATATATATATATATATATATATATATATATATACACATGTGACAACATAATTTCATAACATCTATAAATCCAGTATTTAGTCAGAAATATTTATATTTTTCTAAATGATTTGCATATAACACACATAATAAAAACGATTTTTTGATTCGATCATTTCGTAACCTCTAAATGTGTTGACATGAAGGCAAGATGTACATGAGAGGACCTTTTATATATATATATATATATATATATATATATATATATATATATTAAATTGTAAAAGTTGTATTAGTGTCGAAATTTGATTCTAAATTAATTGGTGTTTAGATAAAGTTCTTGTTGACATCGTTATTTTCAATTATTTGCACACAATTCATATAGTTGAGACATTTATTGAGCTTACATTTTTTTAAAAGAAAACAAACATATATTATAAAGACTGAAACAAATAAGATCAATTCGAGCTCAATTAACAATTAAAATAATTGTATAAAAAATCACTCATTTGAATCAATTATCTCGAGAGTAAAATTTTTTTCTGATCTGTGACACACCATAAATATTACCATAAAAAGAAGTCCAAAATTATTTCTTGTTTTCGTATCATTATTATTAATTTTTTTATTATTGTATCAGGAATTCGTATAAAATTATTTTAGATATCTATTTTGTTAATTAATTTATATATTGCATATAAATTTATTTAATGTTTATCTCCAAAAAATCTTTTTTTATCTCCAAAAATTGACCTTTTCATTGATCCAATAAATTTATTGACTATGCTTGAAATAGTCTTATAGTTGGTCTAATTTTTATATAAGTATATACAGTAAAAGATAAGATAGTTTTATTAATGCAATAATATATTATCATCGATTATGATGGCTTGTTCAGGGAAAAATAAATAAATAAATAAAATCTTGAGGAATTTTTATGAAATTGGCCCACGAGCTGTGAATTTCAAGATACTTATAGGTCATTTGTGCGGGTTCAGGGTTTATTACCCAATTTTGACAAATATGTATATATATATATATATATATATATATATAAATTAATATTTGTCTATTAAGTGGGTGAACTTGGACCATCACAAAAATCTTCATTTAGCCCGAAGGCATCATTCCAAAATATATTCGGTGTCGAGTGTTAAGTAATAGTGTTTTGATGAAACCGAAAGATATAAGATGTTATCTTATATTATTCATAAAAAATAAAGATTCAATTCTGTTGCCTTTTGAATATTTTATAACACCGCATAATAAAGGTTTTACTATTTTTGAGAAATCCGGTTTGCGCCGAGTTGTAAAATTGATAGTAATTTTGCACGAGAGATAGATGTTGAAGTAAATTGTTGAAATAGTAAGTGGAATTGTTACTATTTTAAATATATTATATTTATATATGTATTTATATATATATATATATATATGTAATTATATATATATATATATGTATATACATATATATATATTTGTTGAAATATTAATTAATTTATTCGTAACTATAAGCCGCAATCAGTAAGAATTATTATTATTTCAAGCAAAATCTTACTTTATCATTATTTTAGACAAAAAATTTAAAATGATATAAAATTAGAAAGCAACCAAATGATCCTTTCTAGTTATAATTATATTATTAAATTTTTTTTTAAAGTTTTTAAAAATAAACATCATTTCTGTAACCAATTCTACTTTTTTTTTTAAATCTATTTAATTCTTTACAAAGCGTCTTTGTATGTACGATTGATGTCAAATGTAAATACTTAAAAAAAAAATTACAATTCGATTCATTGTTAACAATTTGACAAAATATGTCATCAATAGTATTGCTTAACATTTTATTTGAAGTGGTAAATTATTTTTTCATTTAATATCATTGTGCTTTTATAATAGGCCTCTAGATTTATGACTTGCAAATCTGCGAATTTTGTAAATGATAGAATATTTAAAAAAAACTGAAAAGAAACTCTTCAACAGTTGCGAAATAGCATTTGTCAATTTAATTGATATATGACTTTTACCTACTTCTATAAGACTTTTTACTTTTTTTTCAAATTTAAGTAACAAATTAATTAATACATTTAGTCCTATATATGGATATAATCACCTGGGTGTGTAGAAAATGATACTTGTAATATTATTTACTAAACATGCTAATAAAATTAATAACAAATATATACTAATAAAAATGTATCTAATGTAAAAAATGCACATCTAATTATACTTTTTAGTGCAAAGCTATATGTACTTCAAATATAAAAAATATTGTGAAAAAATGAGTACATTTGAATTTAAACTAGTGGGGTGTATGGCATCGTGCCTTGAGGCAAATTGCTGGAACTTCCCGTACAGTAACGAAATGTTCGAAGAATATTAAATGTTTTCAAATAGATTATTATTAATATTGTAACATTGTCTAATATTCATAAGAATTATATAAACTGAATTGCAAAGTTAAAATTATTTGTTCAAAGTATATTAGAGCTTTAGTCAGAATTAAAAATAAAATCAGATTTATTTTCGATATACAAAAAAAATTTTTTTCGAAAAAAAAAGTTGAAACAAAATTTTTTTTTTCAAAATCAATTATTTTGTTAAGACAAGCAGAAAGTTCTTTGAATCATTTAAATCGGACGCTTAATTCTCTCAAAAACTGCCATTTTTTACATATTTAGCTCCGTATCTTCAAAATGGCTGGGCCTGCCTTTGCCAAAAACTAATAAACACTTCTCCCAATCATTACTAATTGAATGTTTTTTAGATCATTCAAATCGGATACTCCGTTCTCTCAAAAAGTCGATTTCTATTTTCTGCACTCGTTGCTCCGTATCTCCGCAACGGCTGGACCTGCCTTCGCCAAAAACTAATCAGCTCTTTTCCCTATCAATAAGAATCGAATGTTTTTTGAAACATTCAAATCGGTTGATCCGTGCGCCCGAAAACGTGACTGGAAATTTGTATCCATACATACATACATACACACACACACACACACACATCCATTGTTTCTGAGGTATGCCAATATGTTCAGAAACCTTCAAAACGTCGAGAAATGTAAAAATTTTCAATTCCGATTTTCGGCCCATTACAATAACTTACCCTACGGGAAGTTAATAAAAATCATTTTACTTGTATTGACGAAATGAAGTTCAAATTTTTAGAAAGGTGTGTTACACTATGAAAAAAAGTAAAAAAATGCAATTTGGCAGTCAAAAATTATCACTAGGCATATGCACAACAAATTATCAGGTATTTTATATAGATTTATAATTACGGTACGGAAAGTTCCAGCAATTTGCCTTAAGGCAAGAAGCCATGCACCCCACTAGTTAACTTCCCGTGGGGCAAATTATAGTAATCGCAAAAAATTCGAAAATGAAAATTTTTATAGATTTTTACGTTACAAAACCTTCTGAATATTTTGGCATACCTTAGAAAAAAATGAATGTATGTGTGTGTGTGTGCGTGTATGTATGTTCGGATACAAATTTCCGTCGACGATTTCGGAAACACGGATCAACCGATTTAAATAATTCAAAAAACATTCGATTTGTATTGATAAGGAGACGTGCTGATTAGTTTTTGGCGGAGGCAGGTCTAGCCGTTCCGAAGATACGGCGCAAAAAGTGCCGAAAACGGTAACTCAGTTTTTAAGATAACGGAGCGTCCGATTTGAATAATTTAAAAAACATTTTATTTGTATTGACTAAATGAAGAACTGTTCGAATTTTTGGAAAGGCAGGTCCGACGACTTTGGAGATATAAAGCAAAAAGTAAAAAAATGAGCCATTTGGCGGTCAAAAATGATTATTAGACATATGCACATCAAATTATCAGATATTTTATAGAGATTTTCATAATGTGTACACATTTTGAGATTTTTAATTACGATACGGGAAGTTCGAACAATTTGCCTTAAGGCACAATGCCATACACCCCATTAGTTATTTCACAAACCGCAGCTACTTTTACATTTAATATTATATAATTGTAAGTATACTTCATGATTCAATTATTAATTTTCTACTCACGCATAGTGGTAGCTTCCATCTCCGTTGTTGACATTCTCCTGTCTAAGGATGGCGACGTTGGCACCGGAGCTGCTGCTGCCTCCAACGGCGTGATGGGCAGGGGCTGGCCCTTGAAGGGGCGCCTGCAAAAAGTCGCCGTGTCCTCCGGACTGACTGGCCGAGAAAGGAGCAGGGTTGTGGCCCTCCAGGCGGGCGGCCATGCAGGCGCAGGCTACGGCGGAGAGGATCAGAAACTGGGAGAAGAGAGTAAAGGAAATATGAGATTAATATGTATATATATATATATATATATATATATTAGGGTGGTCCTTAAAATGGTCATTATCGAATTTCCTTGCTCCCAGGGGCTCAAATGGTTTCAAATTGATAAAAAACCATTTTCTGAAAGTTTTAGCTCTTAATATTAACTTTTAGATAGAGCGCAATTCAATCAAAGTTTTGTATGGAAAGAGCATGAGAAAATTTTCACAAATTTAAAAAATGTTTTTTAGATATAACTTAGCTAACAATTGAATGAGTTTTATTAAAAATTCGACGCTCTACAAAACAAATTTTAAAAATCCTGTTTGGCAGAGCGTCAGTTTTAATTCATTTACCACTAAGTTATACCTAAAAAACATTTTTAAAATTTTAGAATTTTTTTCCATGCTATTTCCATACAAAGCTCTGATTGAATTAATATTAAGTTAATATTAAGAGCTAAAACTTTGGAAGCATTAAAGCCCCTGGTAGCAATAAAATATGAACCATGTTATAGTCCATATTAACGACCACCCTAATATATATATATATATATATATATATTTGTTTTTTCACGAACATTGAATTCAAGAAATAAAGTATTACGACGTTTTGAAACCAGATACATTCCATCTTCAGGTTTTCTATCTAAAAAAATATAAATATATTAACGAACAGTACGCTATTTTTTTTTTTAAATTATGGGTTATAAATATTTCAAAAGTTTTAGAAATTGAGAAGAAACAATTCTTTACTTGCAACTTTCTAAAAAAGAAAAATTTCTTACGTACTTATGCACATTTAATATTTCTTGCATTAATAAATTAATCTCATTATTGATTATATTTTTTATATAAATATTGTGTGATATGAATTTATTGATAAAATATAAAGATTTTTAAAATGCGAGTAAAAGTAGTAGATATCTGAAAACTCGTGCAAGTAGTTCCAAATTTAATTTTATATTTGGGCATATATTCATTAAGTATTTCTTAAAATACTAAATTTTGTTATAGTTCTTTTTATACACGGTTACAAATTATAATTTTAATTTTAAATCCTCTATATTAGCTTTCAAACAATATAAACCAGAAAACGTTTATGATTTTATTCTTTGTTTTATTTTCCGGATATTTTTATTCTTACTCAAAGTTATAAGTTGTGTAAATTTTTGTACAATTTACAAATAGTTAATATTAAATAGTATTAAAAAACGTGTGGGTTTTATCAGATTTAACACAAAAGCACAAAAGCACAAAAAGTCCTGCAGAATTATAGTATAAAATAATAAAAATATGATTTGTTATTAATCAAAATATATTCATAATGAAAGAAATAGATTTTGCTATTAATTTTGTAAAATTATTGATATTTATCATTTTTTTAACTAAACTTTTTAATACTGTCTTTTCATTACTATCGACTTGAACATTAAATTTAAATAAAAAGAAAATTAAACTATACTATAAAAAAACCTTATTAAAACTAAAAATGTATCACGATGACACGCATGCTAATTAAGAATAATTTTTCACAATTTTTATATTTATACAAATTCTTAGACTTAGATTATTTGAATTAGAATTTACTAAACCAGCACTTGTTCTTGGCTAAAATTCGTTATTTTCATACATGGATTTGCAAAATTTAATAAATTTTAAATATAATATTGATAGCTATATGATTGATTATTCTTCATATTTTATCAATTTATAATCGTTTATACTGCAATAAAAAATATTTTCTCTCGTTAATTCCTTTGCAGATAAATACAATTCATAATGAAGTTTTAAAATATATAAAAATGAATTTTTTTTCATTTTAACTCCCGATTGTATTGTATAACTTGATATTTTTTAATTGATCTCAAATCTCAAATAGCTTTCTTCGGTAGTAATGAAAGTTTATCATATATTACCATTTTGCACCTATTTAATATTTAAAAAATATTAAAAAAGTATAAAAAATTCCAACATTTAATTCATTCACAATTGAAAACGTAACTATATGTTTATATATTTTATTTCTTGCAATTTTAATTTTGCAAATCCAAAAAATAGTAAAAATTTATTCACTCTTTAAAACAACTTTCAAACTTGAATTTTTTGTTAATTTTAATACAACTTTGTTTTTAATCATATAAAGAAACTAATGACATTAGTTTGTAAATATTGAGATTTTTTTAAACTTATTAATAAAAACAAAAATCATTACCATATCCAAAAAATAAAGTATTAAATGAGAAATATATTAATTGTTATTGTTTTATATTGCTCATAACAAAATTGCTAAAAACAATTTAACAAAACTCTGGAATTTATTTGGAAATTTTTCATAAAACAAATAAAAATATAAAAGACAAATAAATTTAATAAATACTTGAATTTGCAGTTAAAAACAAATAAAACAAACAGATAAAAACAAATTTAATAAACACTTGAATTTGCACAAATAAAATGCAAAAAATAAAATACTCAAATCAAAATTTTGATCTTTGGAACTCTATATTTTTTAGGCATTTAAAGTTGAAGTATTTATTTCTGGAAAAATGCAAAAACAGTACTTTTTACTTATTTAAAATAGCTGTGACTATTTCAAATAAATGAAAAAAATATAAAGTATTTTGCAAAAACAAATTAAGTAAACCACTCTATATTAACTAGGTGCAAAATAATATCATATAATAAACATGTATTAATTAATTTATTAATAATCCAGTGTGTATACACTTATGTTTTTAACCACATCACTAATACTTGTAACACTTTTAAAAAAAGTAATTTAAATAAACCTAATTTCCTACAAGGCAATTTTGGAAACTTAGACACCAATTAAGAAAATCTCAGTACACAAATTCAATAAATCAATTATTACTCACAGCTTTCATTTTAAAATAAATTTTTTATCCTGGATTTGAAAAAATCACACGATAAACGAGTTCTGATTAAAACTGATGAGATCGTATAGTTTGAAATTTGTTTTTATATCATAAAGATGGGCCCCTTCTTTTCTGATGACATAAGAGTAGATCATCATCATCATCTTAGAAGATTTTTAGACGAGTTCTTTTGGGAAGATCTATCTATCTATATATTAATCGAAAGTGAACGTTGTTATCGATGAAAAAAATCGAATATCGAATAATTCAAGAACATGAGAGAAAAAAATTGGAATGAAAACATGGTTTTGATTAGATGATGGAGCACATTTGGATGGGCAATCCAAATGATTGGTGGTAATTGAAAAGGGCCTTTGGTAATAAAAAAGGTTTGGTAATCGAAGGTTGGGTAATTAGACAAAGTTTAATGTTAGGTGTCTAGTTCTTAGATAAGCTATATATATATATATATATATATATATATATATATATATATATATATTAGGGTCGTCCTTAAAATGGTCATTTTTGAATTTCCTTGCTCCCAAGAGCTCAAATGATTCCAAATTGATAAAAAGCAATTCTCTGAAAGTTTTAGCTCTTAATATTATCGTTTAGATAGAGCGCAATTCAATCAAAGTTTTGTATGGAAATAGCATGAAAAAATTTTAAAAAATTTTGCGGAGCGCCGAATTTTCAATAAAATATGGCACGAATTTTCACTTTTGTCGCTAAGTCTTACCTAAATTTTTTTTTCAATTTTCAAATTTTTTTCCATGCTATTTCCATATGAAGTTTGATTGAATTGCGCAATATCTAAAAATTGACATTAAGAGCTAAAACTTTCAGAGAATTGTTTCTTATCAAATTACAAATAATATTGACATGTACAAATCTGAACAAAAATATGCATTTTCCTTAAATTTCTAACTATTCTCAAACTCACAATCCAAATTGTCTGGTTATAATAAAATTATGACAAAAAAATAAAAAAATCTCTTAAAAAAATATACGAAAATGCCTTTATGACATCATGCCTTAAAGCAAATTGCTTGAACTTCCCGCCTTCTAATTTCACATTCTTATAAGCTCCGAAAAGGAAAAATCTATTTTTTTTTGAAAATTTTGAATATTTTTAAACACTTTTGAAAATTGTGAAAACGTTTGAAAATTTTGAATAATGAAAAAAAAAGTCATTTAGAAAATACTGATATTTTTTAAAAACTTAGAAATTTTTTAAAAACAATTTTTTTTTTTTTTTTTTATTTTGACAATTTTGACATTTTTTAAAAAGTTTTTGATACATATTCATATCGAATTTTGAATTTTTTATTTTTGACATTTTTTAAAAAGTTTTTGATACCTATTCATATCGATTGCTTCCAATTACAAAATATCTGATTTTCGACCCCCAAATGGCATTTTTTTAACTTTTTTTTCTAGATCTCTAAAATCGCTGGACCTGCCTCGATTTTAGTTGATTTTTAATTAATTTTTACTGTTCTCTCATAAACTTAATTTAATTGTCATTTCTGCACCTTTTGCATCGTATCTCCAAAAACGGCTGGACCTACTTTTGTCAAAAACTAATCAGCACGTCTCCCTATGAATAGAAATCGAATGTTTTTTGAATTGTTCAAATCGGTTGAACTTTGTTTCCAAAATTGTCTACGAAAATTTGTATCCACATACACACACACACATACATCTTTTTTTAAGGTATGCCAGAAACCTCTAAAACGTGAAGATATATAAGAATTTTCATTTTTTGATTTTTGAAAAATACTTGTTTCATTAAGCTTTTCTTATCAATTTTCTCTCTTCAATTACGAATAATAAAATGTATCCAATTTGTAATTTTTTTGTTGTAAATTATAGAAATATTAGATTTATTTAGATTGTAGGCAGTTCCAGTTAAAATACACAATATATACTCTAATTATTAAAATATATTCTGAATGTAAATAAAATCATTTGGTGGTAGTTGAAAAGGGCTTTTGGTGATAAAAAAAGTTTGGAATTCGAAGGTTGGGTAATTAGAAGTCTGATGATTTGTTAGATAAAATATAAGTAAAGTCAAAT